AAAACTTTATTTATTTAAAAAATTCTGTATCATAAATATAAATTTGGCTGCACAGTGAACTAGGTACTCTTCTAGGAACCGAACCCACATTTTTACATATAACATTAATTTAAGAAAATGTATACAACTCCAGATAGTAGTTTTTTAGTTAATACAATTAATATAGATTATTATATCCTTTTTAACCTACTTCAAAAAGGAGGAGGTTCTCAATTCGTCTGTATATATTTTTTTTATGTATGTTCAGCGATAATTCTTTAACACAATGTCCGATTTAAATGATTCTTTTTTTTGCTGGAAAGAGGATACTCCCGGGATGGCCCCTTTTAATTTTGGTCAAAATCTAATAATTGGGTCCATGAGAAAATCCTCAAACTTTTCATTTTTTATGTATGTTTAGCGATAATTCTTTACCACCTTGTCCGATTTCTATAATTCTTTTCGTTAGTAAGGGGGTACCTCAGGGGTGGTCCCATATAAAATTGGTTAAGATGTGGTGATAGCATCAGCACGATTTTAAAGTCGGTTTTTTAAAATTACTTTTAATACTTGTTACGTAAATTAAAAGTTTAATAATTTGGTGCTTTCTTGATGCGTTGTTTTATGAACACTTTGTATATGTTTAAGTACAGATAATTATTATTACTGGCAGTTTATTTTAAATCATTAAAATAATATTTTATTAATCCAAAAACGGCAAGCAAAAAAGCCATGTCACATTCAGTGTAATAATAAAAATTTGATATACATGGTGTTTCTAAATTCATGCGACAAAATTCAGGAGGTGATTTCTCGTATGAAATTAAGATGGGTCTTTCCTATAACAAAATTTCCTCAGCCCACCTCTTTCCGAGTTATCACCCTTAAAAGGTGGTGACTAAAATGGAGTTTTTATTTTTTTTTCTAAAATTTCAGTTAAGCTAGAAACTTGAAATTTTGTAATTTTCATGCACTCGCAAAGGATATTTTTTCAATATTCCTGTTACATTATAGGGGAGTGAAATTAGCAACCCTTACTTTATTTCATATCAAAACTTTTTTTCGAAATGAAGTTTTATGAAATAAAATTAAAACTTGAAATCTTTGTTTTATTTAATTTTTTTTAATCTTAAATTTTTTTCTCAAAACCAATGGCTGCAGAGAAAAAAAAAATAAACACCATAATTTATAATTTTTTTAATAAATTGAGTGAAAAACAGTAACGATGTAAAATGTAATACGATTCATAATAAGTGCTGGAAATGACCACCTGTAGCTAAAGTACATTACTGAAATTTTAGAAAAAAAAAATAAAAACTCTATTTTAGTCACCACCTTTTAAGGGTGATATTTCGGAAAGGGGTGGGCTGAGGAAATTTTGTTATAGGAAAGAGCCATCATAATTTCATACGAAAAATCACCTCCTGAATTTTGTCGCATGAATTAAGAAACACCCTGTATAAATATAGTATATTATGTACCAACTAACTAAACTTTCACTTTTAATCCCACCTTTTTGTCGTAAAAGACTTCTAAATTTTTACTAGTGACGTCCGTACCGGGTTTGAACTGAATATTTTTGAACAAAAATATGGTACGCCACTGTTTTTTCTAAAAACCAAAATTATCTTTAAAATCCTTATTTATTTTGGAGCAAATTTGGTTTATAGACGTACTTTCGGACGACGCACCCTTTTTGCGTAAGAAAATAAAAACCAGTTTATTGAAACTGCTTTTGATATTTTGTTGAAATTTGGTAGGAACCCACCATGAGTGGAAACATTTTTTTTTGTAAAATAAAATAATTATTTTTTTCTTAAAAACTTTAACACCCAAGGTTTCACACCCTTAAGTATCGGCACTCAATTAATAAATACCCTGTATTAAATTACCTTATTCGATCCAATCGTCTATTTTTTCAATTTATATTTATATTTCACAATTCTATACTCTTAAATCTAATTTAATCTAACTAAACCTATTCACTAAATTATAATATAAAAATAATGTAGAACCCTCTAAAAAATCGAACTGCGTTATAACAATATCTCGCAATGCACCGAGCAAAACAAATACGATTCTGGTTCCCCTAATTCCTGACTCATTCAAGAACAAGGACTGATGAACGTCTGTCGGCAGCCGTGGTAGGATTTTTAGGTTCCTATGAGTCTCAACTTCGCGCGTTAGAGTTTAGAATACGAATATCCCTCGTATATACAGGCAATTGTTAAAATTATGAATGAATGCGGATTTTGTTTAGTCTCGGAAGTAATTTTGTAGTATTTAGGCTCCACCCTTAAGTTGTAATTTTTATATCTACTAAACTACCGTTGCCCCGCAGGTCTTTCAGTTTGTAATGTAAATTTTCCTCTTGGGGACGATATTATAAAAGAAAGCATAAATCGTAAACCTCTAAAATTTGTTGTAACGATTCTGTTAACGATGAAAATTAGAAAGATTTCATTTTAAAAATCTTAAATATTGTATTTTTTTATGTTTTACAATGGTAATTTTAGGGGGTGGTCAAATGTCTAAATATAATTTTAAACCTTCTTGGGTCTTTATTATGCCGCCTTCCTGTTGATCGACCATTTTTTCCAATCCGAAATTCGATTTGGAAATTATATTTTTAGAATTTTTATATTTTTGTTCTTTATTTGTGAATAAATAAATTATTATTATTATTATTATTAGTTGACTGTTACACTAGTTCCTCAAAAGTGTTTGCTTAGACGTCCAAGGATATGTCATCAGCAAATAATTATATGATATCCGAATTAATATGACATAAAGCAAAAATATTAATGGTCCCAATACAGAGCCTTCAGGAACATCTATGTTCAGATCATGTAAATTTATGTTTTATGTGTAAAAAACAAATAGGTTTACTCTCATTTAGATCTTGTAGAACAAACATTAAACAAAAAAATAATATTTGATTTTTTAAAGAATATTCTTTATTATTATACTCTTCACACAGTAGTCTGTGAAGAGTATTGTAGATTAACCTTCAATAAACCAAAACAAAATTTTTAATATTGATTCAAATTTAAAAATGTTTGTACCAAAATCCTTTTTATCACATTTTAAACAACTTTTTAAAAATGTATGTCCTGTTTTTGTCAGCACGATAAATTAAAAACGAAAAATAATATTATATGAACTTGAAAATTTCAAAAAAATCAAACTCTATAAGGGGAGGAAGCCTATTGATTTTCAAAAAAGCCGATTAAAAATGGGGGTTAAATCATAAATCAGAAAGAAAAAGCGATATCAACATAACATTTTTAGTAAAAATCAAGCTCGATAGGGGGACGAAGCCTATTGATTTTGAAAAAATATCTCAATAAAAATGGGGGGGTTAAGCGGAGTTGAAATATTTAAAAACTCAAAAACGAAAAATTATATAAATTTTTAGCAAAAATGTGGGTTTAACCCCCTTAAACCTACATATTTCAACCCCCCTTGAAATAAAAATCATTAAACAAAAACAAAAAGCGATATCAACATGAAAATTTTTAAATAAAAATGCAGGTAAGGGGGTCTATTAAACTGTGAAAATGCAAGGTATTAAACAGGGTGTAACAGAAAGATGTATAGTAAATTTAACCACAATTTCTGCATAAAAAATGAATAGTAAAAAAGTTGCAAGGGTGTTAATGTAGAAATTTTACAAGTGACTGTACTCGTACTCTAAAACGGCTTAATATATTTTTATGAAGATATACATGAGATGTTAAGTACACAGTGACCAATAAAATAGAGTTAGTGATGTTTAAAATTGTTTTAATTATATACATTTTTAGAAGGGTTCCACACCCCTTTGACCCCCTACTTTTTTAGACAATGCTACATTTCCTTTCGACATTTGTTTGCCTACTAGATTTTTTTATAAAGGCCTTAATTACAGGTCTGAAGGTCATATAAAAATATAATGAATTTTTTCTTAATTTAAACCATTGAATATTGTATTACGATTTTTTTACTATTTTACACAGTGGCGGCTTGTGGGTGGGTTCACAGTGACAGAATATAGGTATCAGTACAGATGTATGAACAAATTTTCAGTGTTTTAGAAAGTTTATAATATATTTTTCTAAAACACTGACAGTTTTTTACCTATATCTGTACCGGGCTCTATATTCTGCTACAGTGAACCCCCAAAATTTTCGTTACGAGCCGCCCCTGATTTTACAACTTCATTGAGATCAATAATACAAGGCGGCAATAATTGTAAATAAAGTTGTAAAATAGTAAAAAAACTTGTGAACAAATATTAAGTAGTTTAAGCTAAGATCAGTAGAAAAATGTCATTATATTTTTCACTATGACCTTCCTTATAAAGCCTATAACTCATTGCCTATACAGCACTGGTGGGGGTACACATGTTTCGAATTCTCTATTGATAACTACGTCAAACGTACGTTTTATTATTAGAATAAATAAATATTGTGATAAAAAAATTAAAAAACAAATTGTGTTGCTCCTAGCGGATCTTTTTTAAATCTTCCCAGGAAAAAAGCTAATTAAGGCTTTTACAAACAAATACTAGGAGGCAAAAAATTTCAAAACAAAGGTAGAATTTCAGTGGCATCCTGTTTTTAAGTAAATTCTTCTGTCAAAAAAGTAGAGGGGTAAAAGAGGTGCGGAACCCTTCTAAAAACCTATATAATTAAAAGAAAGAAAGAATTTTTGGTCACTATTTACTAACATCCCATGTATATTTTTATAAAAATATTTTTTAGCCGTTTTAGATTAAGAGCTAAAAATCCCTTCTAAAATTTCTAAACACCCTGTAACTTTTTTACTATTAATTTTTTATATAAGCAAGTTAGCTTGAATCGGCTTATTTTCGATTCCAGAAACTGTGGTTAAATTTACTGTACATATTTTTGTTGCACCCTGTATATCCTCATTCTAGTTTTTACTCGATTTTCCTTATGTCTTTTGATGATACTAAGGAACAATTAATTAAATATTTATAAAGCACAAAAAATTATTAGAAATCACAATGTACTTACTAAGCATTTTGACAACCCGTTTTTGGGCAGCGGTATTCCTGCTGGCACTCTTCCTGCCGAATTCTTCCTGTTTACCATCACTGGTCGTTCTCGAAGGACCAATGTTATTACTTTTCTTTAGCTGTACTCCAATCAAAACGTACAAAACAGTGATAAGACTCATAGGAACAATGAAAATAATAAAAGTAGATATTTCGAAAGAATGATCAAAAAAAGCATTTTTTATATTACAATGGCTGATGTACTGCCCGTTTATGTACTCTCTAACCACCTCGAATTGTATAGCTTGGGGGATAGCTAAACCAAGAGCTATGATCCAGATGCCTATGATATAGCGCACAGCTCTGCTGGGCTTAGACCATGCGTGTGCTTTGAAAGGATGGCAGATTGCTACATATCTTTCGACTGTAAAAGCTGTGATGGTTAAAACCGTAGCATTAGCAGAGGTTTCAGCAGCTAAACCTTGAGTGGTGCAAAATCCCTGCCCAAAAATATAATTATCCTCAGCCCAAATCCTGTAGATCTCGAATGGTAAAGCAGAAATTAACAGCAGTAGATCAGAAATAGCTAAACTGAACAAGTAGTAATTTGTAGCAGTCTGCATAGATTTGTTTTTAGTTATAACTATACAAGTACCAATGTTGCCAATTAAACCAGTGATGAATATGATCACGTAGATTATAGTAAAAGGTAGCACTACTTCAAAAGGGTATAAATCAATGTCATTATTTAAATTTAAATCTGATCCGTTACCAGAATTATTAGGAAAATAAATCGTAGTCGCATTTGACAAGCTGACGTTCATCATTCGCATAACGCCGCCTTCTTGATTTATTAAAATGAAATTGTGTAACATCGTCCTAGCTGGAAGCTTCTTGAGCTTGAACTTGACTTTAACTTTTAGAGTTTAAGTTCACATTACCGCTCGACACTGTCGTTGTTTGCGGACGCTGAAAAAAATCAACTCGCGACGACCGAACGAGTGCGATGTTAAAAATGGGTTTGTGTAAACTGGATTAGTTGGATGGTTGGCGGTTTGATATTTTGGTTTGGCGGGTATCAAAAGCGGCGGTGTTGCCGGTGTGCGAGGTTTGGAGCTGAATCTTCGATTTCTGTAAAAAAACAGAAATACAAATTATGGATAGAGTCCAGCTCCACATTTTAAAATTATTTTGTAATATACAGGGTGTTTTATAAAGTCACAACATACCAAAGTTGTTTTTTTAGTGGAACACCCTGTATGTTATCTCGAATTTAAATTTTGCTTATTTTCCCCATTCCAGCAATATAGGTACTTTTAAAGAAATGGCTACTTTTATGTGAAAATCTTAATGAAATCGTCACCCTGTATTATTTAGAATCAACAATTGAGGATTAATATCTCAAGGCCAGAATAATTTCGTAGTAGTCTAGTTTTGTTGCAATTCATCATGTTTTTGGTATCTTTCATTTTGTATACAGGGTAACCCAAAACTCACGAACATGATTTTCTCGGTTATAAACTACTTGTAAGTTTTTTTCGATTTTTAATAATAAAACGATATTTTTAGTAAATACTGAAAGTTTTGTAGAGTTGGCAATTGACAGCTTGAAAAACACGTTAATTATAAATAATCTAAAAATAAAAAATAAACTACAGATTTTTTAACAAGACTATAATTAATACTAACAGCTATTAACTAAACAAAAAATTCCAAATAGTACTAACAAAATAATTACAATAACTGCTCAAAATGACCGCCCATTACATTTAAACAGAGTTGTATCCGGTATTCAAATGACCTCCCCACATTTCTAGCCATTGAAAAACAACCTTAATTCTATTTTTTATGTCCTCTCTTGTAGTTACAGTTATTTAATACACCTCATTTTTTACATACCCCCACAGATAAAATCAATATTTGCTGACGTATACGAAGAGGAACATTTTCAAGAAGTATAGGCAACTGATTCTCCAAAAAGTCTAAATAAACTTCACTCTTAACTGTTTCCTTAAAAAATGTGGTCCAATTACATAATCACCAACAATACCACCCCAAACATTTAATGGCCATCTTGGTTGAGAAGTAGTAACTATTGTATAAGGATTTTCTCTGGCATAATAGTGAAAATTATGTCGATTTAATAAACTCATCTCCGAAAAGTACATAATCAAAAAAATCTTTTTGATCATGAATTTTTCTTTGTGTCCAATTACAAAAGTTTGGTCTCCGCCGAAAATCATCATTCAATAATTCCTGGTGTAACTGAATGTGATATGGGTGCATCATATTGTGCGATAGTATTTTTTGCACACTTCCATAGTAGTCCAGTAACTGAAGGGTCAAACCTGTAGAAAATTCGCTTATGAGTTCCCACATAGCGCAATTTGTAGGTCATCGTAGGTGTTTTTAAACAAGAAAATCCTTAACGCGTTCTTGGTACCGGAAGGGGCTGAAAATGGACCCCTAAAACCTGTAAAATGGGTTTCCCGATAATATCTGACTGAATATGCCAAATGAAGATCAGCTCATTATCTACAAAAATGGCCCTGTAAAGGTTGTTATAATTATATACTTCATTTTTACGCTCCCCCTCTGAGATCCATGATATTATACTAACTTCGTGTACCCACGCGGCGATAGTTGTCTGCATGTGTTTGCGTATACAATCTCTGTTTTGGAGTCGTCTGCTTGACCGGATTATAGATGTACTGATGATATTTTTTCATTATTAAGCTATTGCATAGCTTTTATCGCGGGCTTTGAGCGCGGCGACCGAATCAAGAAATTCCGTAACGACCGTAACGAAAAAAACTTAACACCCCCCACTTCGACCAGCACAGCGGTGCGGCGCTAAATAATATTAACTTCTTATTTATTCAATAAAAGAAAATCGAAAAATCGAAAAATCGAAAAATCGAAAAATCGAAAAATCGAAAAATCGAAAAATCGAAAAATCGAAAAATCGAAAAATCGAAAAATCGAAAAATCGAAAAATCGAAAAATCGAAAAATCGAAAAATCGAAAAATCGAAAAATCGAAAAATCGAAAAATCGAAAAATCGAAAAATCGAAAAATCGAAAAATCGAAAAATCAAAAAATCGAAAAATCGAAAAATCAAAAAATCGAAAAATCGAAAAATCGAAAAATTGAAAAATCTAAACAGAAATTCCGTAACGAAAATAAACCTAACACCCCCCCCCCACTCCGACCGGCACAGCGGTGCGGCGTTGAAAGCCGTGCATCGTCTAACGTCGTTTCAGTTCTGCAGACTTCGGCACAGTGTTTGTGTGCGTGCGACTAGACGTATGCGTGTAGACTAGCTGCTAACTGATTCTATCTCTTTTAGACACAATTTAGGAAAAATTGAATTTGAAAATGAATAATGATCCACAAGAATCCACAACAAAATATGGGACCACCATTGACGCGGTATTTTCCAGATATTTAGAGGATATCAGGTCTCAAACTTATGTTTCTTATTTCAGTTACCATAAACCTATAGTTTCGATGATAAAAATTCCTAAATAACCTACATGTATTGTAAGATAATAGAAATATTTTAAACAATATTAACTTCTCATTTATTTAATAAAAGAAAAAAATTGTTTTTTTTATCGGTCACCACGTTCAAAAAGTGTAACTTGAATTAATATCAAAGAAAAAAAATACTGCATAAATAAATAAATAATTATAATTGCATAAGTTGATAAAAAATGCTATGCAATAGCTTTACCGCGGCAGTCCCCGAGTGACACACGTATTTTTTTATTTTGAATTATTTATTTAAAATAAAATAAATATTTTTCATTAATTCAGTTATAAAAAAAAGAAGAAGTGTTTAAAGTGAGAAATTTCCACGTTATTTTTGTCTACAAGAAAGAATATTCAAGGATTTTTTTGTTGGAAGCAGAAAATAAGGTTTGTTTTTTTTGCCTCAACTTTAAAAACTTGGTGTAATTGTTCTAACGGTTGGATCATCTATTTTTTGGTAGCTCCAACCGGAACTCTTGAAGATGATTTTTTGTCAGTTCGTGTCACTGACACAATGTTCAAATTATAAAAGAAATGAAGGTATATTCCCGGAAGAATTAGAGGTGGAAGTAGAAATAGAGGTGAAAGAAGAGATAGAAGGGTTGCAAAGCAAGGAGGCAGAAGTACAGCTGGAGGAAGAGAGAGAAAGGATGACAGGGGAAGGGTAGAAATGGAGCAAGAGGAAGTAGACGACGAAAATACCGTTGATGATAAAGAATATGTATATGATTCTGATGACTTGGAGTGATTGACCACACCCTAAAGGTTGTTATGTATGTTTTATATCCAACCAATTCTTCCAAATAAATGTAATTTTTAAAAGACTTGCGTATTATTTCGAAAAAAGTTTGCAAAAAAATCGCAAAAATTGCGAAAAATGTTTAGAATGGTTGTATGGTGAATATTCACCACGCTCTAAAAATTGTCATTTGCTTTTAGCCAAAACAACGGGATTCAAGACCTTGGCACAAGGAAAAATAAATTTTTGCAATTTTCTGGAAAATTTGCAACTCAAATTGCACAGAACATTCGCTAATACAATTATTATTTCTGAGATTTTCATTTACGGATTCCGTAATTTAGCGAGAACAGCAAAGGTACTGGCGCAATCTGTAATTGGTCTCTTAAAGTACAAAAGATGAAGATTAATGCATTTCCAACGCCATCGAGCGGAAATTCGGCAAGAAACTACCATATCTATTCAATATGAAAATTATGGATTTTTCGAAGTCTGATTTTGCAAAAAAATATTGGCATTGCGAAATAATTGGTAGGAATCACTTTTGTAGAGAATGAGCTGATCTGCATTTTTTGTCTGACGAAAAATTCTCTAATTGGCATATTTAGCCAAATATTAGCGGGAAACCCGTTTTTCAGAGTTTAGGAGTCTATTTTCAGCCCCTTTACGGTACCAAGAACGCGTTAAGGATTTTCTCATTTAAAAACACCTGCGATGACCTACAAATTGAGGTACGTGGGAACTCATCAGCGATTTTTTTACAGCTTTCGATCTTTTCAGTCCTTCGTTTACTGGATTATAGCTTAATTCTTGTTCCCTGGAAATTACTCGTATACTTGTATTTGGATTATCCGTAATTGCTCTAATAATGCATTGAGTTCATTTTCCACAATAATAACGGTTTTTGTTTTTTCCTTTTTTTTATTGGCTACATTACCTGTACGATTAAATCGATCCATGACTTTCTCAAAATTTCTTTTTTCAGGTAATCGGCGCTAGTTGCTACCAAGTCGAAAACGCATGTAGTGTTCTTCTACACACGTCAGTATTTGTAGTCGCTAGCGAATATCCTACATTGTGATTCATAATTTCTGCGATCACTTTCCAAGTAACGTCTTTTTTAACGTCTATTTATATGATTGGTTTTAGGATCATAATTCTGGATGATTGCTCACAATATGAATAAGATGCTCATCATATTCCGCAGTAAATTCATCCATTGTTGTTAAAATACTTATTTTTTTCTCCGCACGGATTTAAGAAAGTACCTATCAAAAATAGTTTAATAATATACCTATTGTAATTCATAAACTGTAACCCATAAAAGTTAACATTTATTAAATAGTTACCTACTCTAGGTTGATATTCTAAATCAAAATACCTACATTTCAAAAACTGCGCAACTGCTACGTTTAAACTGTTTTTACTGGAATTTGTGTTTCTAGTTAGTAGCATAAAACCATTTTTATAGACAAATAATCACAAATTTGTAGTTTTTTAATTATCACGATCAAATAAAAATGTACCAACCTTCAAATAATTCCACATTTTATTATTCATCAAATTCCAATTCTGTACCATTACCTTGTACCCCATGGTAATACCAAAGTATATTAGCCGTTGAGACATTAAGCGTCGGTGCCTTTGATCTTGGGTGGTGCAAATTTTCTTTCTCTCTCTTTTGACGTTATTGACAGAACGACACACTAAAACACTGCTCGAATTATGAACTGGTCTTGAATGTGAT